TTTTCATTTTACAAAAAGTGCAGATTTCAACATGAATTGAAACATTTATAAATTAACCATGTTACAGCCTCTTGGCTGTGAGACAACCGGTCCTGTTACTACCTGGTTTGTTTAATTAAGTGGAGATAAACTCAAGAGGCAGCAATTACCCAGAGCGCCTACCTTACACAGAGTTCTAATTGAGCTGCTTTGGGAAGTCTGTGCTCTGACTGTGGACAGCCACAAAAAGGTCTATGCTAGGAAAACCCTCCTGGCTGCAGACAGCAGATCTGCAGCTTTTGCAAGATGCTTTTAGATATAATGCAATGAAAACATACATAAATAAAGGCATGCATGTTTCCATTGGGGTATATTTTCCAAATTGTTATTTGTTTTACCGCAGGAGTGCTCTTTTAAGCTGTAGATGAATGATACTTACTTTGATAATAACTGTCGGTGAGTCATAATCGAAATCCCTTCTTAAACACAGGTTATTTGAATAAATATATATTTAAAGGGGAATTGAGCCCTATTTCCAAGTCAGTCTCCAAATAGCTTGGTTTTTCAACAAAGCTGTATTTTTCCACATTAGAAGGGCCACCTTAACTACGTAAGCCAGTTATTACCAAAAGAAGGCTTAACCAATCATTGGGCACCACAATCACTCGTGTAGTTATATTTACCGCTCGAAGGGAATTGGTAACATGTAAAAACAAAAAGGAAATAATCTCATAGTGTAAATTTATTAACACACAAACTAGTAAAAAAAAAAAACACACAAAATAATTGGCACAATAGGATTTATGTCTATATTGTGCAAACTTGCGTTTATAGCCTCGAATAGGCTTGGTCCCCATTGTGGTAGACAGCTGCCAGTAACTACTTCAAGCTCTTAGAAAATGTAATAAAGCAGCAGAAAATGCTAGTGGAATGCTTGGTTGTATAGGGAGAGGTATCAGCCTCTTGCCCACCGCCTATGGGCCAAGTTAACGACTGTAAAGACCCATATTTTATTCCCCCTGGTTCAGCACTTTCCATTCATGCACATAGAACCGAACACTAGCTCCCAGGCAGCCGGTCACATGGACCAAAACCGCAAATAGACTTCGGGGGGCCGCGAATGCCCTGGAACTATTTTCG